CGTTCTTCGATTTTGCATTAGAACTGCTGTAACAACCAAAAAAAGTTTAACAACCACAGGAGGTAATGGGCTATGCAGGGCCCTAGATGTAGACTTCAATCTTAATTGTTTTTGTAAAGGTAAGTCCCTTGGGCCGATTCTGGCTACGCCCTGTACAGCACGTAATTAACTCTTGGTGATTTGTGCCAGCTTGTCCTTTATTACCCATTAGGTTAACCCTTCATGACTGAGGCCTTTTTTTTCATTTTTTGTACCCATGTTATATTCCACATTTTAGGCCTGAAAATTACTAAAAACCCCCCAACATTATATATTTTCTGAATGCCAAGACCCTATAGAATAAAATGGTGGTAGTTGCAAATTTTTATGTTGCGCAATATTAGCGCAACTCCTTAGATCTGGCGACAGGTAAGTCGCCAGGATCGCTTCTGTTGTAAAGCCGACAGTCGGCTCTACAAGTTTAAACAGAGTCCCGGCGGCAAAAGTCACCGGGAGTCTGTTTAAACAGCCCCGATGCTGGCGACGTACACTGTACGTCGTCAGTCACGAAGGGGTTAAGCCCTGAAGAAGGGGGAGCTCTTGGAGCCCCCAAAATACACCGGCTATTCTCTGCTGCTGTGAACCAATACTACTAGTTTTTGGACTCTCGGACTGTTTGGCCTCTCATAAGGTTTTTATTCCTGCCCTTACAAGTGGCTTGTACAATTCCCCCTTAGATCTTCCAACAATTATATAGTGTAGTGCCCGTTTTATGAGATACATATTGGATTGTTTTGGAAGGCCCTCACATTAAAATCAACTTGGTATATCTATAGAAGGTTGTACAATTAGATTGTAATGTGTATGGCTGAATGTTTATCTGTCATGTCAAAAAGCAAAATTTCTTTTACATAAAGCAGAGCACACAAAGTAGACAGACTCTTTATAATGATAGTGTTACAGTTGCTTTTATTAAAAAGAAATCAGGACAGAAACATAAGCAGCAGCATAGGAAACATTTTCTTGGTCCAGATTAGGACTTAATAAAGGTTTGTGCTTTGGGATTCAGCTGATGGGCATTTCATAAATGAACATCTAGTAACTTTCTAGATAAACTCATACATATATACATATACATTTGTACATACATGTAGAAGGCAAATATCTTAAACAAAACATGAAAAAAAAAAAGAAGAAGATCGTGCACATACCTTTTAGAGTTATTCACAAAGGCTAATGACTGCACATGCTGGTTGTATGTGCATGTATATAGTGCAAGAAATCATATATGTATAGATGTATTTGTATAAACATGGAGACTCAATAGAAAGGTCATATAGAAAACCAGGAAGAAGACTAAAACCATATGGGCTTAGCTCGGACTGACAAAGGAACTCAATTAAAATTTGCATGAATTCGGGGCATAGTTATAAAGCAGATGAATCAATCACTGTAATTTAAAAACACATGCACCAGGAAGATACACCTACAGAGAATGTTTGGTGAATGTAAATATAAATAAATGTCTGTATTGCCCAAAAACAAATTAATTGTTTTCTTTCATTTTCTAACATGTACTAGTTGTTTCGGGCAACAGACCCTTGTAACAGAAACGACAGCTGTGATAGAAACGTGTCCATATCCATCACATTCACACAGATAAGTGCTATACAGAAACATCTTAGATTTAGTGTTGCACTTAAAGTGTATCTATAGCCAAAACCTTTTTTTAATTTTGGGAAAGAATATGAAAGGGTTAAAACCCATCTCAGGTTATGTTTCTGCTGTCTGTGTCCCACTGGGGAGCATTTTCTTCACATCTCGCCAAAGTAAAATAAATAAAATAATATTTAACTGGATTGTCCTTTCTGTCTTGGTGACATGGGTCACCAGGACAAATAAAAGGGGAATCGCAATAACAGGTAGGTACACAGACCAATCGAAATTTGGCAGGGGTTCTAACCGCTCTCTCAAAAACGAAATATTAAGAATAAGCCTGGCGACTTTACATGCGGAATTCTGCTTTAAGACAAAATGTAGCTATTGCTACAGTGAACCGGTTCATTTTAGGGCAGCAGCCATTTGTAGACACTGAAATGTAATCTGCAGTTTTGTTGGGTGACAGAAAAGCTACAGCTGTGTGAATGTGAAAAGAACTACTCAGGATCCATTCAAGTCACATCTCACAGACCTGGTAATGAATGCGGATTTGCTTAACTCTAAGCTGCAGCAACAGATGAAAATCTTGGAATGAGCAATATGTATTATGAAGTCGTTTTTTTTCTCTCCACATAATTATTTTTATTTTGGTCTTTTGTACATGTTTCAATACAGATCCCAAACAAATATATTAAAACAATGGCAATGTGCTGTGTTAAGGGCATAAAGAGAACCCGGTACCTTAAAGTGATACTAAACTCAAGAGTTAAACCTTAAAAATGCATACAAGGAATACATAACAATCATATAGAAAGGGTTTTCTCAAATCTCACTGCAACAGTGGTAAGACACTTTAACAAAAATGTATCTTATTTGAGTATCACTCGGCTATAAATCCTCAAATCATCTCTGAATTCAGGCTGACGTTGCCCTTCCTTCTGGAGGATGGCTACTTTTGTTCCCCTTGGTCCCTGTGTGTGTTGTAAGTAGCCAATACTTCAAGCTCGTCCCTTTGATTGACTACAAGGTCATATTTAGTTTACTAATTTGTATTGAGATTGTAGTCTTTTGTGGGTACAAGCTTGGAGCGGTGGCTACTTTCCAGAAGGAAGAACAGTGTCCGCCTGAATTCAGAGATGATTTGAGGATCTGCAGCCGAGTGACACACAAATAAGATACATTTTTGTTAATAGTGTAGGTACTTGAAGGCATTTTTAAGGTTTAACTCCTGAGTTTAGTGTCACTTTAATAAATAATGCCTTACCTAATGTATAATGCACTATGTACAGTAAATGTAAAAAAACAACATACATTTTGTAAGTCTACTCTGCTTGGAAGGGAGCATATAGGAAACCTGTTACATGAAAACTACCGTTCTGCCTTCACTGAATAGGATAGCTGCCTGGTACTTTGAGTCACTGACTGAGAATGCAGATCAGGCGTTCTGACTTCAGATGATCAAACATCTGAAGGCAAAGGATCAAAATGACAACCAGCCAACTAGGTTTTTCAGGAGGCTGCCCACAAGTTTTACGTTTTGGAATATGATTACGCTTTCATCAAAAGAGCATAAATGCTATAAGCTTCAACTCCACATACGGAATAGACAATGAGAACTTTTTTCTTTTTAGAAGCTGATCATTTTGTATTATACAGGTCATGCTATCAATGCATATTGAAGGAGAACTATGAGGTGAGTGCTTTTCACTCACCTCATAGTTCCAGCCGACCTGTGACAATGAGACTGTCACAGGTCGGCTCAGTAGATCGGGAGGTGAGCGAACACATACCGGGTTCGCTCGCCTCTCGATCCTGTCACAGCTCTCTGCCGTGACAGGGGGAGGGGCTGGATTCCCCCCTCCCTGCTCCGATCCTCCAGCGCTGACTGGCGGAACGGACGGGGGAGGGTTGTAGTTTGTGTCCTCCCGTTACCCTAAGGAGAACTATGGGGAAAAACACTGACCCCATAGTTCTCCTTTAATCTAAGCCCCTCATTAAGCAAAGTAGCCCAGAAAACAGCTATTCCTGCTCATTTCTATAGTGCATTAGGCATTATGTAAAGCAATACTGAAGTAAACCGTTTTAGATAGATGTCTATTATCAATCTTCTCCAGAAAAGTCTCCGCAGTGCCCTATGTTAGAAGATTTCCACTTTGCTATGGAAGCCTTGGTTTCTTAACGTGCCCCCTATTAAATTGCTTAGTCCCACCCATGCACTTGCCCCCCGTCCAATAAAATTTTGCTTTTTGGCAAATAAGGCACTCTGTAACACAGAGGACTGATGGGTGAGTGAAGCTAAGTGCTGCTCAAGGAGCTGAGGCCTCCAGAGCATAATGAAAGTAATCATGATGGAGCACAAAGGAACGCTTTCGGCATGTGAGAAGTAACAGCAGACACCTTGGCTGTACCTGTTCTTTAGTGGCAGTTTCAGACAGAGGATAAAAGGGTCACTAAGAAAGAAACCATTTCCATTTCATGTTTTGCTTTCACATAAAGCAGTACACATGTCTATAACTAAAGGTTAGAAGTAGATCTATTTTTGTTTTTTTTAAATAAAAAGTGAGAGAAAGGACAGTATTAAGTTATAAGCCCCATAAAAGAAGCCAGCAATAAGGCACAACCTACGCTAAAGACTACAATAAGGCCTCTCTGCAGGAATACAAAAAAGAAACTCAGGAATGCATAGAAGTTACCCAAGAACAATATATTTGACACCTAAACCAACTATTTTAACCTTTTTATATAGATATACTTTCATTGGATGTTGTAACAAAGGTATAGAAACCTTAAGTATAAACATTTATAATCCTAAAAATGTAAAATAGAATTATAGTCAATAATAAACACTCCTACCTTGCACATCCAACAACCTTAAAGCTAACCTCTTGTCTGCGTGTGGCCCTGTATATGCACATTATAATGCTCCTTTGGCTTAGGAGGATATCCTTACCCTTATTTCCCGGTTTCTGCAGCAGTTGGTGCTCTTCTTCAAACCCTCGCCTGGGAATGTGGATTGCTCCTAATGTCATTTATTAAAATGCAGGCCAGGTAGCTGCTCTTGCATTGTACATAATTATGTCAGTGACACGAATGTAGAAGAGGAGTAGTTTCGGGAACTGGTTGTCAGTACCAGAACGCAATGGAGAAAGCCTGCATGCCTGCGGAATAAGGCAAGAACGTCTCTCTATTATAGCCCCCTGCACTAAACACACATTATATTCTGCATTTTCAGGGGCAGGGGGCCAAGAAAGACAGCTATTTTCTTTATGACTGGCCTGGAGTTGGGCGTTAAACTTATAATAGCCAACAGAAGGCATAAGATAAATGGGCTCCAGAAACCACTACAGGATTCCATGGTGACCACTTTAAGTGGATGGGGTGGGCAGGGTAGTAGGAGGTTCTAATCAGACTGTAGTTCTGCTTTAAAGTACAATAGTAACACCACAGACTCAGGGTTACTTCTCTTTTACAAGTTTACACTGATACATTGACAAAATTAAGCCACGTTAGACGTAAATCCCCAATAATACAATTTCTTAAAGTAAAAAAGACATGTATTTGTTGCTTTGACTCTGCCTATAAAAATACTTTTGTTTTCCTGTGAAGGCAAAAACAGCTTTTAGAGTAGCTGTGGATTTAAAGTGCAGAACATGTAATACAGACCAGACATCATGGCGCACTATGCCAATGACAAGATGCAGCTGGTCCACTTAATATGGCAATGGAAATGTGTAAGGTTGGTGCAATCTTGGTTTGGAAAGAGTAGAGTCTGATATTGTGTACAAATAGGTGGCATTTCTGGAATCGCTGTGGTTTAAGACGGTGGCTTGTGCTGGGTGCAGTTCACTGTGCTGTTACTTCTGCTTTTTCCTCTCAGGTGGGGCACCGATGGCAGATTCTGTGGCACGGCGGGTAGAGTTACCCATACGGTTTGTAGCCTGTAGTGGAAGTAAGAACATATTGACAGAAAAGAGTTAGAAGCCAAACACAGTACTACATATATAGAATGGTTGTTGTGCCAACCTCATCCCTGGTGAAATTTAAGCTAACTACAGTACATCAAATCAGAGTTTGCATTGTTCACATGGAACTTTTAGGTGCCTCAGTTTTATTTTACTTGTATGCCACATGCTCTCTAAGTAGAGTATTTTCTACGGTATTTAAGAAGCATGGAGAAAGTTATTACTGCAGCTCAAATTATATATACTTTATGGTAAGTTATGTCCTTTAGACCAGTGGTTCTCAACCTGTTTAACCTCAGACCCACATTTGTCCTTGGTCATTAAGTGGTGACCCAAGTCTAACTGCAATGGAACGCACTGGAAATTGAACTGTGGGCGGGAAGTGTGTTTGGGGTGCCATTACGAGAACTGGAGTGGATCCTCAGCCGGGGGTCCAGTGCTGGGCTGCTGTGCTGTGACGAAGCTCTATCCATATGTGCATTGCTTGTACAACTCCCATGCGTGCCCCGTAGAGGGACCTGGGAGCCAGAATGTGACGTCACTCCGATGCAGGCACCTCTACAAAGCACGTGAGGGAGCTGCAAGCAATGCATGTATGAATGGAGCTCCCTCGTGGCCCAAGCTCCAGCCCACCCGACCTCAAGCTGACACTCGACGCCAGGCAGCATATTCTGAATGGTTGCTCTGCGTGAGAAATGACAGTGCTGCGCTAGGAGGAGGCTAAGCGACTCTCATCTAGAAAAGTTGAAGGCACACGGCGACCCACTGAACACAGGGTCGCGACCCACTTTTGGGTCATGACCCACCAGTGGAGAACCAAGGCTTTAGACAAAGACAGTATAGTTTTATCAGATTCAAAGTCTTATATCAGAACTTGATTATTCACTCTACCTTTTATAAAACCTTTGTGTTCTCTCTTAACAAATCTTAAATTTTGTTTTTGTTAAATCTTAACAAATTATTGTATAGATTATAGATTTGTAGGGAGATAATATATTTAATTGCATTTAACAGAGTACATGGCACCATGATTCCTAATGAAGTCATGCAACCACACTAGGGAACCTCCAGGCAACAACAAAACACCAGTTTATGTAGGTATGCGACCATTAAAATGTATACAAAGGCAAATCCATAATTCGACCCCTTTATAAAACACTGGTTCAGCCTTATCTTTAATATGCAGTTCAATATTGGTCATTGGGGGTTTTGATGGACCTTAATTATGAGGATTACAATGCTTACATTTAATTACTGTTAAGAAGAAGCGCTTCAAGGGGGATACGATGACAATGTAAAATTTATCAGGGGAATTATATAAACCAGGGTTTAAAATTTCCACTGCTCGCATTTGGCGAGTGGAAATGCAGTGCAGGCGAGTGGACAGGGGCAGAGTTAAGGTCGCGGCAGGGAAGGGGTTAAGTGGGCAACTGGTGGCGAGTAACGCTTAAGGCCTGGCTAGTAGCTCAGGACTTGAAATTTCAACTCCTGATATAAACTGTAATAAGCTGTTTATTCTGAAGGCTCCTGAAGAAGACATGTGGCCACAATTTAAGACTGGAAGAAAAGAAGTTTAATCTTACAACAGAGATTGCTCATCAGTCTGCTGCTTCCCTTTCACTGGCCAATCACTGGCTGTGGGCAGGGACAAGACTTAGTTGCATTACGGTAAGGTCAGGTCTCTAGACTGGATTTGCTGTGTGCCAGGGCTGTGTAAATCTCAGGAATAAATGGACAGAAATACAAATCATATGACTGGTACAACAGCTCCCATATATTTTATATGAGTATTTATCGGTTTGGCCTAGAGTTCAGCTTTATCCAGAGGCCGGCAAAAATTTGGAGGTAAACAAGGGCCATATGACAAAGTGAAAATGAATGAAAATATACCTTTCCTACCTGGGACACTGATATATAAATATAATCATACAGGCAGACAGTGCATTAGCGGGACCACAGAGCTACTAAGCAACCATAATTAACACTAAGATAGCTTAACCCCTCTACTTAAATGGTTTTTATAATGCTGCAATGCACCACACACAGCCACAATGTATTACCTGTTCAAGAACATAATCCGCACTGGAATCAATAACTTTGCCAAGGTCTCTGTACTGTCCAGAGTATTTGATGTAGCCCCACGTAAGGAGTGCAATGAGCAGTAGCCCCATTGCACAGTTAAACAGTTGGGCCACTATGTCTAAACCCACGAATCCTGTGATACCAGAAACCGTGTATAGTGCAGCCACCAGGGCTAGAAGTACAGCTGGAGTACGGAAGGCTGTGAAGATATTCTTGCTCTCATTATGCTTGCAGAAAGCAGTGTACACCCCATCAAGGTCCTTCTCCAACTCTTCTCTGTATTGCCGGCTGAACTCCACTCCTCCCATCTTCTTGGCACGGTCAAACTGAGTCAGGGCCTCGTCTCTGCAGGCAGCATCTCTATCTCGCAGGACATCTGGTGACACGTAAGGCTTTTCACCACCACAAATCTATGACAAGGAGCCACAAGAGAGCCAAATGATTATATAAATAACAAAGTGCAATGCATAATAGCCAAAACCCAAAAAAATACAAAGTTATTGATAGTTTGACTACTCTGAATAGCTAAATACTGAAATGTAATTAGTTATTTGCTGCACAATAACTCTGATTCCATTCTTTTGTTAAAGGGTTTTCTCATTACAAATTCAAGGCTGCCTCCATGGGAAGACCTCTGTCTAAGGGGGAGATCCCTGCTGACCTGTTGCTTCAGGTGAGCTCTGCGTCTGTTGGACATATTTCTAAAGCATTAGCATCTAGAATCCAATGAAATGTTCTAAGAGCTTGCTGCCTAGCATTAAGTTCCTTAAACAGTTTTACTTTACCAATATGAAAACAGCTGTTAACACAGCAGGAGACCAACAACTAGCCCCTATTTATAGGGGAAAATGAGAGTCCGGAGCAGTCGTGCAAACACTCCTTTTTATTTTCATAGTTCTTACAGGTCAGTGATTGAAGGTTCTAAAGTCACTGGATCAGCACGATACCTAGGAAACTAGCCTTATTAGAAGAAGAGGTAAGCAGTGGGACACCAAAAAATTACAGGTTTTCTTTCAGGAACATCAGCAGTGTGCCCTGCCTAACAAAAACCTCCAATAACTAACCAGAAATGCTATATAGCCATTAAAAAACTATTGAAAGAAAGTGATAATAAGGTAAGATGTTAACTAGGCATACACAGGATATGATGATGGCTGTTAACAATGGTAGGGCACACACATCCACCTCACCTTCTCCATGCTGCTGTTGTACAAGTCTTTGGCAGAAGCCACAGCTGTCAGGTTATTGGCCTCAGCAGTTGCCTGAGAAAAGATTTCACTACATTATTTCTGAAGGATTCATAAAAGAATGGCTTTGAGAAAGGCGACTCAAACCTACATACCTGCAGCATAGATTTGGGATGTGGTAAATCTTCTCCTTGGTATATTTTTATGTAAGCCTACAGAAAAACCCCAAAAATGTTGGTAATCATATAGACTTACATTGTTAAATGCAAGTACAAGACAACAGCATGATCAGATATTGATGGTTTACATGAGCATAATAAAAAGGTCACCATTCACTATGGGGGTTGAGTCATACAATGATATCACTCATAAAATTAAGTAGGGATGCACCGATAGCGATACTAGTATCGGTACCGATATCGAGTACTCACCCAAATGCTCCCGATGCCTAGCCTGATACACAGTCTTCTGGTATCAGGAAGCCGGCTCCATGGCCATTTAGGAAGCGGGGGGGCGTGTAATGATTCGCCTCCCTGGCTTCCTGATTGGCTGAAAAGCCAGCTCCATGCTATCTCGTCACTTGGTGACAACAGAGCATGAATGCAGGTTTCCGGCCAATCAGGAAGCCTGGCAGCGTGTAATAACTGGCCCCCCAGCTTCCTGACTGGCCAGAAAGCCTGCTCCATGCTCCCTCGCCAAAATGGTGACGAGGGAGCATGGAGACAGCTTCCTGGCTAATCTGGGAGCCGGTCTGCGAGTCATTACACACCGCCCGGGGCTTCCGGTATTGGCGAGTACCGAAAAAATTTTTTGCTACTCGATACTGAAAAACTGGTATCTGTGCATCCCTAAACTTAAGGAGCCTTTAGACGTCTTTCCTAAATTTTTGTATGGTAATTGTATACTTACAAAACAGCACAACAAGGGAGCTCAAGAGTAGAAACTGTCTGTGTTGCCCAAACTAACCAATCATAATGAAAGTCAGCCATATTTTATTTATGGTAGGTGGGTTATTCATGAGGCTGATGGGTTCAAATTGCTTATCATTGCTCTCCCTTGCAGTGCACCTCCAGCTCCATTTCATTCTAGATTGCTCAGGCACTAGGAGTAAAGGAAGCTAAAAGGAACTAGAGCAGGGGTATCAAACCTCCGGCCCTCCAGCTGTGCTGAAACTACAAATCCCATGATGCATCTCTCTTCGGGAGTCATGTCTGTGGGAATTTTGCAACGCCTCATGGGATTTGTAGTTCCCACCACAGCTGGAGGGCCGGAGGTTTGAGACCCCTGAACTAGAGCATAACACTGTCAATACTCATTTGCGTGAGCAAAGCTCCCCAATAACAGGTAAGAACTTTTTTTCGGTCTTGACACATTTTTAAAAAGAACTCTAGGCAGAAATAAACGTAACTTTTGCGGTGGGGCTACCCCTGCACTGCAAGGGTTAAGTGCTCGTTTTTGTCTAGGGACAAAAATAAAGAAGATATACTAACCTGAACCTCAGAGCTGGCTAGCTGCTGCTACATACCCTGCAGCCTCTCATCTCCTCCGCTCCAGCGATGGAATGTCTCATGGCATTCTCACGTCCAATACACTGTATTAGACATGATGACTCACAAGACCGTAGAACGCTGGAGCAGAGGGGAAGTGAGGTTGCAGAGACCAGCCTAGCAGCCAGCTGGCTCAGACATTCGAGTACAATATCTTTTATTTTCATCCTAGACGAAAGCAAGTACCTAACATTTGCAGCATCGGGGTAGCCCTACTGCAAAGGTTAAGATTATTTATGTCTAGAGTTCTCCTTTCAATGTATGTTTGAAAACCAGTTTGTACTGTATCATTTCCATTATCTGCTGTGGTCATCATTTCACTAAGAACTATTTCTGCTATTCCTAATCAGGAAGCTGTGCCCTCCATAAAACCTGTGAGCACTACATATGGAAATGGGAACGACAATTTAAACAATATTAGGTATCTGAAATCTGTAACTGTTTTAATGTGAAACATTAACAGACGTGGAACATAAGGAAAAAGAGACAAATTCACCTTGAAATATTCAAGCAGGCCTCGGCAAGTCACCTTTGCGCCATTTATCTCTTTCTCCATAAGGCTTCTAGGTTCAAGGACGAGTGGCACCAGGGCACTCAGCTGCTCTATAAACTCAGGAGCAATGTCTATGGCAGTCAAACAAAAAGACAAAAAAAAAACATTTCTATGACAGAACAAACCATGTAATAGTTAAAGTATATATAAAAGGCAAAACATTTGTTTTTAGATAGTGTGGGGAAGGGTTAGATCCGTTGTCATGTTTTTTTTTTATTGTCTATATCCCTGCTGGGAAGATTCACCCTTCTCTGATTTTTAATGCACTACAGTCTCTAAAGTTTACAGAAAAAGAAACATTCAGTGAGTAGCATCTTTGAGAATTAAAAAACCTTGTTAAAAGGAGAACTATGAGGCGAGTGCTTTTCACTCACCTCATAGTTCTAGCCGACCTGTGACAATGAGACTGTCACAGGTCGGCTCAGTAGATCGGGAGGTGAGCGAACACATACCGGGTTCGCTCGCCTCTCGATCCTGTCACAGCTCTCTGCCGTGACAGGGGGAGGGGCTGGATTCCCCTCTCCGATCTGCCAGCGCTGACTGGCGGAACGGACGGGGGCGGGTACAGCTGGCTCTGCCTCTAGATAGGCAGAGCCAGCTGTCACTCACGCAGCTGGGCGGATCCCGTCATCTAAGTCGTGATCCGCTCCGGCGTCTCAGTATACCGCGAGCTGTAGCTCGCGGTATACTGAGCTTAGGGTAACGGGAGGATGCTAGTTTGTGTCCTTCCGTTACCCTAAGGAGAACTATGGGGAAAAACACTGACCCCATAGTTCTCCTTTAATAAAAGAGATCAAAGGAGAACAGCCAGACCTGTTAAAGCGGACAGAAGTTCATAACTTATTAACCAGTGATGATAACAGTAGTGAGCAGACTGATATCTCTGAATGGATCACAAGCCAAACTTGTGATCTCATTTATTTTGCGTCAATAAAAAAGTGTTGGGAATATTTTCCTGGTCCATTAATACAAAATAAGTCTGTCAACTGATTGACAACATTGTCATTTACCACACGAACCCTTTTTATGGGTTTCAGACAGCTGTAAATGAAAAAGTGACCACTGATAAAATGTATGTAGCAGAATTTACATGACAGAAATTTGTCAAATCTTTCCAGTACAAGCAACAAGATGACTGACCTTTCAGGCGGCCATCAAACTGAGGACTGGTTGCCACTTTGAGCCCGGGATGTGGAAGAAGGAAGCTGCTGACATTGGTGAAGCAGGAGTGAATGTGTTTGCGTACATTCTGGATCTCTTCATGTTGATGTTCTTTTACCTGGAGAATGAACTTATGGCAATCAGACCATTTTCTACAAATACAGCTTCACCAGGACCTGCAACTCCCCATGTATTCTCCCCTCTATGTGTATACCAGCCAAAAAAGTAAAGCACATGAGCTACAAAAATATTCTATACAACATGCTGGAAAATCTCTGAGTCAGGCTTGCTCCATTCACTGTAAGAACGGGAACAATCCACAATCCTTTTATCGACAGGCATAGAAAAGTCCAGTTGAAACGGTTTAGGTGCACATTGGCTAATTCAAGTACAGGTCAGCCTTCTATGTCTTATTAAAACTAATAAAGAAATGAGTTTATATCTGGCACTTCGGAAAATGCATGCTTACCAATCTCCACCACAGAATCACATTCATTCAGTCATTTACTTCCTTACAATTTTATTACTACCAACAATTCTCATCTGTGGAAACATTGCAGTTGGCCATACACAATACAGTGTTAATGTACAGACTTTATACAACTAGAATTACCCAAACATTTTTTTTTCACTCGGTATCTAATCAGACAGGAACTTGCAGTAAATAGCAGAAGATTGCACAATCAAGACTTGTACAATCTAGCCTGAGGTCAGCTTTAGAAATGTTAAAAACTGTTTGGAAGTGACATTTAAAGTGACACTAAACTCAGGAATTAAATCTTAAAAATTAATTCAAGTACTTTAACTATTAACAACACTGGACCTACTTTGTACATCACACAGCTGTAGATCCCCAAATCATCTCTGAATTTGTGCCGACGCTGTCCTTCCTTCTGGAGGGTGGTTACTTTTGTTCTCCATGGTCTCTGCATGTTTTGTAAAGTAGCCACCTCTCAAAGATCGCCCTTTCAATACAAATGAGTAAACTAAAACGTGAGATTGTAGTCTATCACAGGAGTGAGCTTAGAGCGGTGGCTACTTTACAGCACACAGGGACCATGGGGAACAAAAGTAGCCACCCTCCAGAAGGAAGGACAGTGTCAGCACCAATTCAGAGATGATTTGAGGATCTACAGCTGAGTGATACACAAATAAGATACATTTTTGTTAATGATTAAGGTACTTGAATGCATTTTTAAGGTTTAACTCCTGAGTTTAATGTCACTTTAACAGAACTGTGCAAACGCATTTATCACTAGTGCTTTAATTGTGCACACTGACAAGTCTCAGCCAAAGATTGGGATCTTAGTTTTTGGAACTGTCAGTACATTTCTACTCAAAACTTGGCAGTAACAGAACTGAAGCACAGGTCAACAACTGCAATCACTGAAAAGAAATGCTCCAAGCGCCACAAATCTGTTAAGAATTGGGCAGACAATGACAAAAATGCCACAATCAGTGCACAACAAAAAGATACATTTTCAAAAGATAATTTGATTAAATTGCTCTTTCTTAATTAGCTAGATGTAGGACAAACAGTCACAAACAGACAACATAAGCAGCAAGTAGACACATAGCACGCCTCTCAGAAATAAAGAGGGAACATACCCGCAACCTCTTCTCCAGAAACTTTGCACCACCTTCTGCTCCATAGGGATATTCATAAGGAAAGCTCCAATCTCTAACCAAAAACATCAGGGTCTGTGTAAAAAAACGAAAACAAAAAACTCAAATAATGTAATGCATGATTTTTGTGAAAGTTAATCCTCTATGATACATACTAAACAATCGCTAGGTATAATGATAAAAAAAAAGTAGTTTGCTAAAAAATGCTCAGACCAGGGAAAGCTGGCCCGCTAGTATCCACAGGAGATCACTGCAGGCTGGAGCTTTACCCAGGTCAATCAAAATGGAAAAGAAACAATAAGCCACATACACAAATTCTTCTGCTTGATGGGTTTGTCAATCACTTTTTTAGGGTTCATACGAATCTTTGATTCATCATTTTGCTGTGAAACTAACAAGATGTTTTGCGTACCATACACACGCTGTACGTTTCCTAATTTACAAATAAACTCAGCGAACAGAAAGACATTTGTGATGTTTATTTTTATGGAGTAAATTTTGAGCTCCCCTTTTTACACATCGGATGTTACCACCCATATACACCGTGCAATTGCCCCTTTTACAAGTGTAAAAAACTAGACACAAGACAGGAAGAGGGGGTAAATATCTCCAAGTACTGTACTGGCTGGCATTATACTTTACCACCTTGACAACTGCAAACTATAAATGAACTTTCTCAAGCATTGTTTCAGGGGCCTTAATCTATCTTCCATTTTAGAACCAAGAGCACAGGAGGTGTGTAGTGCCCTCACCCACTGGCATCACAAAAACAATCAGGAACCAGGAACCCGTGCGGTTCCTGATCATGTGATTATTATGACAAAAACAAAAAGGACAAGCGCACAACCAGGGGGTACAAACTCTTGGGAGATTTGATGTAAAGACAAGGGTTACAGTGTGCAAGCTCTATGAAAAACAGAGAGAGGAGCCCTGTGATAGACAATTGAGTGAAAAACGGTATTGAGAGCGCTACTACTGTACTAGGCATGGAGGGAAACTCACGTTTATGAAGTCATCTGTGGGAGGAAATCCCGTGCGGACCCTGGGTGAGTGCAGACCTGAGGGGTCCAGTGGTCTGGTGGGTGATTCACCCCGGCTGTTTATAGCTTGACAAAGAGGCTGTGCCTCGAAACGCGTAGCTACCGACCCAGCATACACTGCCTCCAGTGCCCCTTGACCCTCCCGTCATTCCCGCCGGCGTTCGTGTCTGCCCGAACCACCGCTCCGCTCCTCGAGCCGACTGACACTGAGCTGACAGCTAACAACACCTCTGACACACAGTGCCCTTGGCTGCAACGACCCAGCCTGGCCAGCTGAGTCCTTGCAAGTGACAGCTGTCCTTCCGCCACAGACCACGTCCTCGCAGACAGTGCACCCACCAGACCACTGGACCCCTCAGGTCTGCACTCACCCAGGGTCCGCACGGGATTTCCTCCCACAGATGACTTCATAAACGTGAGTTTCCCTCCATGCCTAGTACAGTAGTAGCGCTCTCAATACCCTTTTTCACTCAATTGATTATTATGACAGCCAATCACTGTGCTCTCATAAGGTTTCTTTACCGTTGTCATTGTGGATAACAATATATATATACACATTTAAATAGAACTTGAATACAGACTTATGTGTAAAATAATGTTTGGCCATTTGGCAGTCTATAAGAAAGAACATGAGCAGGGTAATTTCCAAGTGTACAAATGCCCTATTTATATGCCTTTAATTAAACAATGTAAACATTATTTAGATAGTCAATTAAGTAGTTATCATCAAGTAAATATAGACGATGATACATTTGGTCTGGGCATCTAGGCTTTAATATAACTATCAGTAAGGGTAATTGACTATTGATTAGAGAATAAACCATTTTTGACTGACGGCAATATATATATTTTGGTGCCTCGTGTGACTTGATGCCCTGGGCTAGAAAATTAAAGTATGCAATTATTTGGCTGCTTTGAGCAGGATACAATACATTTTTTCTGTTCAGCCATGTCTCTTTTTCCTATTGCATATGTCGGAACAAGTCCGACAGAGTTCACATGCAGGAAAAGCAACAAGTCACATTATCTGCTGACTTTCCTAGCTGCATACACTATGTTACTTAACTGCGCTTTTTGGCCACCGGGAGAAAGTGAAGTCACATGCTCCCCATGGTATGGGGGAGAATGTAACTAACTCCCATTTCTCCCAAGATGCAGTATTGGGCGCCTGAGTGACCAATCGCCAAGGATCAGTGCTGTCACATGGGGATGGGGAGAGAGTTCCCAGCTTTGTGTAAGCACTGACCATTGGGCCTTGGAAATTATACTGGGTTCCTCCTCTTCCCTGCTGTGGGCAAGCAAAGCAGTAGGAAAGAAAACGTAAGGTAATTATAAGTAGATGGGGTAGGGTGGCAGCTTTGTGAACCTGTTGCTTTGTCTTGCATAGGCAATGCACATGTTCGCTTTAAGAGCAAGCACCAAAAGGCTCCTGCAGACAACTTTGTGTTCCCACATGCATTTCAAATCCCTAGTGCATGCTGCATAGTAAGCCCAATTTTCCACACTTGGAACTCTAACACCATCCTATCCACAAACCATTTAAAAGTGTTCTAAGCTCTAAGTTTGAGACATCAAACCACCTTTCAGCGTGCTACCAAGATCAGGACTTTCCTGGTGCACAGAAAAAGAGCTCAAGATTAGCTTGCAACCTATACTGAGAGATATAGTGGCTGCCATTGCTTATTTTCTTTTCTAAAGATGCCAAATGCCTGGTGGTCAAGCTGACCCAAAAGATTTAATATTTCTGAGGTACTGACTTTGATCAGGTCTTATTCATTACACTTGCTGTATACTTATTTAGGGTCAGTGGCTCAGAGAAATGTGGAGCCAGAGTCAGCCATGCAACTAACATTTAAACAAGGAAGTCAGCAATAGTAACCTATATATTTCTATCAGTACAGGTTTTCTTTAAAACTGGGAAAGCAATATAACCCCAATATGTACTGCAAATCTAGAAGGAAAAGCTCTGTAGAGCTTTCTAAGTAAGCTTTATTTTATTAGAAAAAAAAAGGAAGATAAATGTAATTTAATCTAACTTTTATACTATAAGTACCACATTTTCCCAAGTTGTTGTTGACTTTCCGGAAAAGAAGTATAATTAATATAAACAAGTCCAAGCTGACAACTTGGTCTAGTCACTTGGGAGTGTGACTAGACCAGTACTTCACAATCCACTCCCTGAAATAGTTTGGCTGACTTGCTGCTCAAAGCTTCAAATGCCTTTTGAAGCTTTGCCCTTTGAAAAGAACCTTGGTATATTTAAAGAGTGATTTCAAGCAACAAAAAAAACATATTGGTGAACAGCAAATGCCATCATGCAAACATTGCAACTGTATTGAAATCAGAAAGTTCACTCAGATTACCCTAATCTGAGAACAATGCAGCTAGGTTTCACAGAGCTTCTCACATGTGGGGTGGGTGGCTCTGATTCGTCAATCTATACTGTATTTTCTTTATTTGCTGTGTCATCAGTTAAATTCAACCTTCCAAATCAAACATGAAAAGGGCTGTGGTTATGATAAAGCAGCTCCACTGAGCTTAGTTTTAACAGTTAGGATGCTGCAGACTTTCTGTATGTGAGGAACCACTAGAAATCTCAATGGTGTATTTGGAAACAACTATTATCCATTAAAAGGAGGTAGGTAATAGGAGTTCCCCAGATTGCCCACAAAGAATAATGGGGTGTATTGGTATACTACCGCTATGCCAGGATAAAAAAAACAAAAAACTCAGCCCTAAGCAGATGTGCATTTCAAGGCATCATGTTTACTGGAGCGTAATAAAAATAACTATCTACACACACACACACACACACACACACACGTAAACTACCGTAACCTTTAGTTCAGTATAGAAATATGAAAAGATTTTAAGCTCTGGGCTATCACTCTAACACTGACTTTGCTACCTAGTGATTACAAGAATTCAGTCTGTGAGCTTTAAAAAGATTTAACTTTTGTCTTTCATATTTGTTCCAGAAATCACTAAGGGCCAATTCACAATAGCTGTTGTGCTAAACGCAGAGGGTGGTGTGCGTTGCCCGACAGTGCCAATGCGCCGATCCGGCCACATCACACTTTGTACTTTGCCTTGTCCTGCATTGGGGCTGCGCTGGAAACAACGACCAATGCAGCCCCAACGCATCTGGTGTGAATCGGGGTTTTGTAAACAGAATGTGTTCCTGTAGCCAAAGTAATCCCATGTTCCCCAGGCCTAGCTGTGGAGAACTATTATAACCTGTACCAGTGATTTTCCACCGGGCTCAAAAAATGTATGAGGACTTGGACTACATTTGAAGAAAATGTTGAATTATATAATGGTTGCAGTTCCACTTTAACTGGTAGTGCACTTGAACATCAGTATTAAACATACAAAAACTACTTTTACAAATCACAATTTTATGTGGGAATGTAAAACTGTTGTCTGATCTATATACAGCTTCATGACGCCTTTAGGTTATGTTAAGAATCTGAATACAATGCATGCCAAGACTGTTTTCCCAGTAATATATATCTCAGAAAGCAATGTTGTAGCCTTCCATGAGGGAATATGCAGCATTAAATTACCAATTCTCCCCCCTACTGCATTTTGCTATGCTTGCAATTCCTTTTATGTTAGGTCAAATGAAATTCACGGATTGTTTAGCAATAAGAACCAATTGGAGATTACTTCTGCATATAGCTACCAGTGATAGTCCTAACAGTTGCTAGGACACGGCTTTATAATACCAAATATAAGATGGGCAGGCTTCTTTTCAGTTAGGTAAATTACCACACAGCTTCACACGTGACAGAATGTCTAAAGTAATCAGTGACAATAGATTTGTGGATAGGTTCTTTAACAAATTGCACACAATGATGCGTGATTACATACTATTTCCTGGCTTCTAAGGGGGATTTTAACTTCTGTGGCTGTGTCTATATTCATGCCATGTGTACAAAGTATAAATGCTAAGCACAATTAAATGTGCATTTTGGTGCATTTTCTCATAGTTTGACACAAGTAGACAACAAATATATAGACACAAATTAGAAT